ATTGCATATATGTAACACCACTGATTTGTATACATATACCTGAAAATGAGTCTGGACATGCTGTCTAGCTATGTGCCTAGAAAGAAATATTCTCTCATGCAATGCCAAAATATAAGTTTTAAGACAACTTCTCTATAAAAAATTTTATTTTTAGATACATATGTGAAGCAAATATCAAAAACTATGAAATTATCAGCAACCACAGTGATTTATTTAGAACCGGTTATGTGTATGTCCTTGCGCTAAAGGCCTTGTTAAGTGGTTTGCTAACTACTTTGGGAGAATAGAAAAAGAGAACAAAAATTAATTAAATAGTTTCATAGAAATGGAAGAAAATAAATAATAATAATAGCATATATAATGCTCATTTATAGTAACTGTCAATTACTATGAAATTACTTTACGTATATCTTTTAGAGAGGTATTTGTCTTAACAGTGAAAAGAATTATATTAAATTTATTTATCCATCAACTATTACAAATAAGTTTGTTAATTAAGACAGAGAATTTCATTTGATTGCATATTAACAGGTTTGCATTAAATTCATTTGAATATGTTTTCTTTTTTCATATTGCTTTCTTGAAACTGCATAGAGTTATTTCTCATTTCCATCAATAGCAAGGTGAATGTTGTTTCATTTTATTATTGTGACTTTTAATTTACTTTTAAATTTAAAGTAGCACATTTTAATAGAGAATATAGAAACTAGTAATAAAAATATGAAAATCACCACCAACACCATTACTCAGAGAGTCATGTTAGAAAATTAGGATACATCCTTCCAGAATTTTTCTATGAATAAATGTGTTAGTTTTTTCGTTTTGTTTTATTTTGGTGTTGTCTTACAACAATGAGATCACTTTGTAGTCTGTTTTTCCTACTGAGCATTATGTTATGAACATAATCACATTATCTTCTGCATTATTTTAACAGCCTCATAGTATTTCATAATATGATGTATCAAAATTCATTAAGCCAATTTCTCAGTACAATAATTAGATTATATCCAGTTATTTGTTATTGTAAATAAGCTTCAGTGAGCATCTTTGTGGTTGGATCTTAGCCAAAAGATCTTATTGGACTTTGTCTAAAATGTCAAAACCATTAGTTTACGAATTTTAGTATGCATGAGAATCATCCTTGGGAGTTAGTTATTCAGACTCCCAGGCCCTAATAATAAAGATTCTGATTAGGCAGATCTAGATAGGCCCTGAGCATTTGATTTTTAGGAACACTTTCTGTGAGTCTCATGCAGGGCTTTTGAGCATCACATTTTGAGAAATAATGGCTTAGAGATATTATAAATACTATCTTTTTCTTCACCCTCTTCCGAAATATCATTTTTCCAGCAATTACATAAAATACATATTGCCTTGGTGGTCAGTTTTACATTTCTTTCTAAAATAAGACTATTTAACCTCCTGCTTTCTACTGACAAAGTTGTTGTATTTATTTTTTAAATATAACTGGTACATACTGATCTGGATTTTTTTTTAAAAAAGCCACTTGTTATACTGTTTTTGAATGGAAATATTAGGATATAGACATCTACTGCTTCATCATTTTTATTATCAAGATAAAAATACCACATTTTATTTTTAATAGACATTGATCTCTCAAAAGAAGTTACCTCTTGAGGTGTTTTATCTAGAAGAGAATGTCATACACATTAAGTCCTTCATTAGATAAAGCATTTCTGCAGCTGCAAGGTAATTGCCAGAGTGGGCAGCTAAGTACTTATAGAAAGATGTTAACTTTGGTCAGCTACGTTCAATGTTTAGCTCTGCTAGACTCATCCTTTCTTCTTCTGTTCCATGTTTATTCTGAAGAAGAATATCTATACACTTAAGTCATTAACTTCTCTCAAGAAATATATGATGAAAATTATGAGCTGTTAGTGTGGTTTCAGTTTGCAGTTCTGTCCTTAGATGAACACACAGAACTTCACAAACACACAAAGGCTCATTTTCTCAATCTAAAAGGTAAGAATGTTACAGATACACATTTTCTTTTTATTTTCCATATTTGCCAGCTTACTAAGCATTAATTTTGTTATGGACTAGTATAAAATCAGAACATTTTAGACCTGAAAGTGGTCTTAAGCTTCATTGAGTACAACCGCTGATTTTATGTCTAAGGAAATTAGAGCCCAGGAAGATGAAATGACTTCCTAACGCCACATAAGTAATTAGTGGCAGAGTCAGGCCTAGAATCTCTACCTCCTGATTCAATTAACAAGAATTATAATTAATTTCCAATGATTATGTAGCCTTGTCTGATCCCATTTATGCTATTTTTTTTTTAATGAAAATGTGAGGCTTATTAAGTTATGGTTGATCATTGTGTGTTCTATTCTTTTCTAGTAATACCTGCCTTGACAGGGACAATACTTGTTAAAGGTAGTACAGCAGAGTGGTTGTTAGCTTCAGCTTTAAGTAAAATAAATTGGGTTTGGATCTCAACTTCTTGGATGATTAACCATCTTAGTTTGCTTGGGACTAGATTATTTCTCTGGACATGGGACTTTCAGTGCTAAGATCAGAAAGTCCCAGGCAAACTGGAATGGCTGGTCACCTTATTAACTATGTGACAATGTGACAAGGGCATGCTGTTTTATAGGTCTCTGTTTCTTTATGTGTAAAATGGGAAAAAGAATAGAACCTAACTCAGAGGATTTCAGTAAAATTTAAAAGAGATGGTGTATGTAAAACACAGCACCATTTAATAAGGATTCAGTATATTTAGCTGTTTTAATTAATTTTCCCCAGTTTTATTGAGATATAATTGACATATAATAGTGTATGTTTAAAGTATATCAGCATAATAATTTGACTTATAAATATCATGAAATAATTACCACCATAAGCTTGGTTAACATCTATCATCTCATATAGATACCCTTGACCCCCCAAAAAGGATTTTTTTTCCTCGTGATGAGAACTCGTAGGATTTGTTTTCTTAACAACTCTCATATATATCATATAGAATGTTAACTATAGTCATAATGTTGTATATTACATCCTTGGTGCTTATTTACCTTATAATTTGAAATTTGTACCTTTTGACCACCTTTATCCTATTCTTCCACCCCTCACCCCCATTCTTGCTTCTGGTAACAACAAATCTGACTTTTTTTTTTTGTAGGTTTGTTTTATTTCTCTTTTCTTTCTTCTTCTTCTTTTTTTAGATTCCACATATAAGTAAGAGTATACAGAATTTGTTTTTTTCTGTCTCATTTATTTCACTTAGCATAATGCTCTCAAAGTTTCATCCATGTTGTCACAAATGACAAGATTTTCTCCTATTGTAAGCCATCATCATCATCATCATCATCATTATTATTATTATTATTATAATGTTATTTTATGAAGTAAGTAGATTTCTCAAAACAAAGTCTCAGAATCTAAGTACTCATATTTAGAATTTGAAATAATCTTTGTTTTTACCTTTGATCTCTTTTTTTACCTGTGGGTGCCCTCCTTTTCTCCTATGTATCTAAAAATTAGCAATAAAACCTAAGGCTGTATACAGCCCACCATTATATATCCTTTTACATTTTTCAAGATATAAATAAAAAAAGGACAAATTTTCTATTTGTAAAGCAATATAGATCAATGAAATATCAAAGACAGCCTAGTACACTGAAAAGATAAAGGGAATTAGCCTGGATTATAATACTAATAGCTAGTATTTTGTTAAGTGCAAACTCTGTGCCAAATATTGGTACTTCAAATACTTTCCGTCTCTGCTCCAGACAATGAACTTGAGAAATAAATATTATTATACTCAATGTTCAAATGTAGAACTAACTTCAGTGATCCTAAGTTACTTGTCCCCAAATAATAGTATAATAAGTGCAACAAAGATTCCAAACTAGATATGAACTCTTCAAAGTTAATGTACTTTTAATTTATAACCAATGACTTAATTTCAGGAAAAGGACTTTGCCTCCTTGGGCTAGTTTCTTCACCTGTAAAACTCAGAAGAAAAGGAAATAACCATTTGTGATTGCTTATCACACTGTAGGTAATGAGCTATGCACATTACATGTATGATATCATTTCATTCTTGCGGGTAAAGGCTATTCCAATTTTTATAATAAAGAACCAGAAAAACTATGCAGATTAAGGAACACTGTAGGAACACAACCAGCAAAGTGTCAATGAAAGGATTCTCAACCCCAGCATGTTATCTGATAACATGATGGTATCATTTTTAGTATATAGATATGATAAATATGTCTAGAGTAGATTTTCTAACCACTTGGAAATAATTATTGCTAATGTAACAGTATATTTTTTTCAAGTAGAATCAAAATATTAGAATGTCTATTCTATTGTAGACTCGATTTGCCTTTGCATGTGGGTAATATTGATCAAATCTACATAATTTAGCTGTGATTTAAATATTCTACTAGGTACTCAGAAGTCCTTTTAATGACCTTTTTTCAAATTCCCCTCAAAATGTCTTATATAAACCTTTGAAAAGAATATTCAAGTAACATGAGACATATGAAAATATGTGTTAACAAATACAGTCCCAAGTATGAAGAAAAAAAACTCATTGTCTTCCTCTCTCTTCGTAGGCATGTATGTATGGATATGTCATATGTCAAGATAATTAGCAATGAATTTTCTGCAATTCATTTCATAGAATGTAGAAAGATATTTTGATTTACCCTTGATTTTACATAATTCATGCACAAAGCTCATAAATATTGATTATTAAAGATGACGGATTGAAGATTATTAAATATAACAACTGAGCCATTCTAAATTTACTGGTGAACAAATTTGCTAGTGTTTAAGATAAATTGAGACTTCAGCTGTTCTATTCTTTTCACCAAATATTGTTCTGTTCATGTCATCACTTTTTAGTTAGCATTTTCCATGTACATGTTTCCCATAATTTTTTTCCTCCAAAAGGATGAAGCCATCACGTAATGATAAATAGCAGAACTTTTGTCACTTACAGATACTTTCTTGAACTTTCACCGTAGGCCTCTGAGGAAACACTGCATTCCAGTAATGAAGAGGAAGACCCTGTCCGAGCCATGGGACCCTATCTGGTGCGGAGGCTTTCGTGCCGCAATGTTCAGCTTCCCCCTCTGGCCTTCCGACAGTTGGAACAAGCTGACTTGAAAAGTGAATCAGAGAACATTCAAAGACCGACCAGCCTCCCCCTGAAGATTTTGCCACTGATCGCTATCACTTCTGCAGACTCTAGTGGGTGAGTGCCCTTGGGCGACATTTCTCCATTTTACATTTTGGATGGCGATTACTTTCTGTGGTGTTTTGAGATTTTGTGGCTCATTGCTTGGGTTGAGTGGGAGGAAAATGGGGTTTCTAGAGCCAAAAGAAAGAAGAGTGACTTTTCTCAGGTAACATCACTATCTCTGGAGGAGGAGACATTTTAGTCAAAATGTTTACAAGAAGTTGAAAGGTATTAGTGAATGATAATAAACATCTGGGCAAGGGGACTTGGACTTGTCAAATTAATATTGGTCATATGTGATTTAATAGAAAATCTTAACAAATGAGAACTAATGGACAAATTACTGTGTAGACATACATATCTGGACACAATAGGCAATGTTCATTGATGCAAAATAAATTTGAATCAAAGAGATTGTATTGTAATTAGAATCAAAGGAAACATGCAATTATATTTATGAACCTAGTAATTTGGCCTCTGACACTGAGGTATTGCTTACCAGAATACTGTTTCAGTTCCCAGCATGAGGTGATTTTATTTAGTATTGGTATATATAGAAGAATCACACATAGTCATGTCTTTGTAATGTAGCCATTGTATTTCCTATTCGACAGAGAGTTTTCTTTCTGTCTGGTTTACCAGTGGAGCTTTACTCTTTAATTTCAATATCACAGGGTAATAAATTGTGAAAGAAAGTAAAGATAGTAGGCACATCCATTTTTGTCTTGACCAGCTGCATTTTTAAGAAGCTGAGATAGAAAAGAGGAGTAAGTCAGTGGTCCATACTTGGACAGACTTTTGAGTATTTCCTATGACGATAAGGACAAAGTAATTTATTATGTTATAAATTTATTTCCTGCCAAGTCTAAGGCATGTCCAAAGAAGGTACCTTTTAGATTTTTGTAGCAGTTGTTAGAAAAATTGTGATCAGAAGAAATATAGCCAGTAACTGTCCTCTATGATATTGAATTTAGCTGTTTGAATTGTTATAGACCAGTTCAAAGGATCCACATCATTAAAAGGTATGATGAAATTACAACTAAGTAAATAAAAAGATAACAAAATTTTTATTTTGAAGCAATGGTAAAAGGAAATGTGTGGGTTTTTTTTTTTTTTTTTGATCCATATTTAAAGAAGGACGTGTATGTCTTGATCAGACACACTAAACCAGGTGGGACTTCTCTATGGCAGCTCGAATTGAACATTCTTTGAAAAATGCTGTCTCAAAAAACCTATTTTCCCTCTCTTTGGGATCAACACCACTCTCGTTCATCTGTGTAGAGGGCAGGATTCACAGATATCAGGTGTGTCAAGGGCCACCAAGACCACCCCTAGATTCAATTATTTGCTAGAAGAGCTCCCAGGATTCAGCAGATAGTCATATTTATGGCTGAGATTTATTACAGCAGAAGCATACCAAGCAAAATTAGAAAAGAGAAAGGCACATGGGCCAAAATCTTGAGAAAAACATACACGAGCTTCCAAGTTCTACTGTCCCAGTAGAGTCAGAAAGGATGCACTTAGCTCCTCCAATAATGAGTTGTGACAATATGTGTGAAATGTAGTCAAGAGGGAAGCCTTCTACCAGGGAAGCCTATTAAAGACTCAGTGCTTATATGAGGTATCTGTAATAGTCAAACTCATAGAAACAGAGAATAGAATGGCTGTTGCCAGGGGCTGGGGGTAAGAGAAATGGAGAATTGCTATTTAATGGGTATATAGTTTCAATTATGCAAGATGAATAAGCTCTAGAGATGTGTTGTACAAGATTGTGCCTATAATTAACAACACTGTATTATGCACTTAAAATTTTGTCTAGGGGATAGATCTCATATTAAATGTTCATAACACAATAAAAAAAGAAAAAAAAAGAAAAGAAAAATAAATTCCTTGCCCAGAATTGTTTTTAGGGCTGCTCACTTAGGAACTCTCTGCCTAGCGTGTGCCTAAATTCCAGATTCCCAGAAGGAAAGCAGTTGTTCAGCATAAACCACATTTCTTGCACAAACAGTTTAGGTGCTGTGAGCCACTCACTTTTCAGAGAATGGTGAGAACCCAAGTTCCCAGATGCCAGCTAAGGGCCAACCTTTCAAATAGGCTTTTCTAAAAATAATAGTCTCAGGCTCTTCTGCACAGCAGGTTTACATTAGAATCATTACCTTGCTTTTTCTACATTTGAAGAAGAAATTATAATTATAAATAAAATAAAAATATATACTAATTTAAGCCTGTATGTATTCAATTAACTTTGATATCTTAAGAAATGTGATGGCTAAATATGATTTCTCATTTTAAGCTATCATTATAGCAAGTGCCCTTAAAAGAAAATTGTATAATATATTTAATATATCTCTATGTAGTTAGGCAATGTATATAATTAAAAATTTTACATAAAAGCTAAGCTAATTTAATTAAATATAAATGTGTCGCTAAAAACAAATAGTTTCCAAGTACCAAGGAACTTAGAGATTCAGAATTGTCTGTTGACACTACTTCTGTTGGTTCAAAGTTTGTTTCCTTTTTAATCAAGTGAAAGCAAAATTGTGTTTACCATTTACAAATTTATTCAATATTTTGGAGGAAAGAATTTGTGTTTTTAAAGGATGTAACAAGAGTGACTTGTCTATACTAGAAGGCAGCCAGGAGAAACCAAGGACAAGAGAAACAATAAGAAACAAAGACTAAAGCTATATTAAAGGGACTATCATTATCTTAGGAAGCAAAAATAATTCGTGAATTGAGTATTTGAGAAACAGATAATTAAAGAGTTTAATTTGCAAGAATTTCTAAGGTTTGGAAGGAAAGTATAAAGTCAAGTCAGGAATTATACTCTGTAGCTATTTCAGTTAACCAAGAATCCCAGATTCCTTCACAGCTATCAGAACGAGTAAGTGGGACATTCAGACTAGTTTAGCTAGGGTTGTCTACAGCCCAGTTTCCCACTATTAAAGGTTAATATGCCTCTAGGTTTCATTGTCAACCTACACAGAGACATTGGTAGTTGTAAATTTTTGATGGGGAAAAGAGACTTTTTATGCTTTTCGAATTTATTTTCCATAATTTATTAACATCTTAACTTTTTGCTTTCTTCTGATGTGTCAGTACATTAGACACTTGCTCTGTCAAATGTCACACAGTGGGTCTAGAGATTTACACTACCTCTTTAGAAACTCATGGTGTAGCCCCAAGAATAATTGGTTTCTGAAGGGAACTTTGGCTTGCAAAAATTAGTGTGATGAGTGCCAGCTATTAGCTTCCTCGTGAAGTGCCTGCATGAAGAGGGCTTTTCATAATTAACACTTCCATAATTCAACTTTTTTTTTTTAACCAGGCAACATGAATGTGTTCAAAGATACTCTATTTAACAATTCTCTTTGAGTACGCCTAAGGTGAGGTTGTGTGTATTGTGATTTAACAACCTTTAGAAATGTTTAATGATTACAAAACAGAATTATAAGATCTAGAATGCTGAGGACCTTCAGTTCATCCACTAGTTAGTTTTCCATATAGGGTGAGATTACTCAGGCCTCACTGAATCACTGAAGTAAATGAAAGGAACATCTATTCATGGCTTGAAATGTTATTAACTTTGCAAGGTAATTTGGAATTCCATAGCTTTCTATATTTTCCTCTTACATAGTTTTCTATCTATTTACTTAAAAAAAGAAAAAAAAAAAAACCCTTGTATTAAGGTGGAATTTGCATGCAGTAAAATATGCGAATCTCAAGTATATATCTAGATCAATTTTTATATATTTAGACACCCATGTAATTATCACCCAATTTTCTAACTTCTGTCACTAAAGACTAGTTTCACCTTTTCTTGGACATCATATGAATGGGCTCATATAGTATGTTCTCCTTGTATCTGGCTTTTATCACTCAAAGTGTTTTTTGTTATTTATTCACATTGGTGTATGTATCGGTTGTTTATTCTTTGTAATTGCAGTATAGTATTCCATTATATGAATAGACTATAATTTACTTATTCATACTCTCTTATTGATAGATATTTGTGTGTTTCTAGTTTGGGTCTATTATGAATAAAGTCACTGTATACTATATTGGTCTTTTTGTGGACGTATGCACTAATTTCTCTTGGTTATATTCCTAGAAGTGGAATTTCTGATTAATAGGTAAGCATGTATTTTATTACTGTCCAGTGATTTTGCAAAGTGATGTACTTTTTTACCCTCTGACCAGCAATGTATGAGGGTTCCAGTTTTTCTGTGTCCTCACTAACACTGAGCATTCAAAGTCTTTTTCACTTTAGCTATTCTGGTGAATGCGTAGTGGTATTTTACTATGGTTTTAATTTATATTACCCTGATAAATAGTGATATTGCTTACTTCTAATATGTTTATTGAACATTTGGAAATCTTCTTTTGTGCTGTGCCCATTTAAATATTTGTCCAGTTTTTCTTTTATTGATTTCTGGGATTGTTTATATATTCTAGACAGGAGTCCTTTGGAGTTTTTCGTTAGATATATGCTTGATTAAATGAATATTTTCTTTCAAACCATGGCTTGCATTTTTACTTCGTTTACTTTTAGTATGGTGTTAACCTTAGTCTCTCAAGTGTGTGTGTGTGTAAGGAAAAGCGTCCTCTGAAAGGTCAGAGAAAGAAGTGAGAGCAAAAATAAGAGAGATGGCAAAAAAATTAAGTGGGAGAAAAGAGAAAGATAGACAGAGAAAGAGAGGGAAACTGAAAAAAAGAGTGAAATGTTCAAAATGGAGAAGAAAATAGAAAGAGGGAAATGAACAGAGCTTGATAAAGGGAAAGCAGGTGACAAAAATGACACAACCTACAAAACAATTTTATTTAGAGACAAGGGCAGTTGATCACTTGAATATTGAATGGTAGCAAATAGGACTTCCAGACACTAAGAGACTGACAAAGAAAAGTTGAGAATGAAATGACAGTATCTTCGCGGGCAGAGTATTAAGTGGTAAAGAGTGGGTAATCTGAACATTTATCGTCTGAATTTGAGTCCTGCCTCACCATTTGCTAGCTATATGACCTTGGGAAAGTTATTTCACCACTCTATGAGTTTCTAACTCCTCAAGGGCAAAAATAGGAATAATGGGAGTACCTAACTTCACCTCATAGATTTATTGGGAAGATAAAATACTTAGCTCTGTTTTTGACATATTGTAGGTACTTAACATGTAACAATCACAACTGCCGTTACTAGTGCACTTATCATGGAAAATATTGCAACAAATTATGTGTGTTTTTGTTGAACTGATTAGTTTTCTTATTAGAATTATCTTCAAAGGACCTCTACTAATAACTTTTGGGGTAGAGATGGATATTCTAGCAGATTTAAGAGTTAA